GAGTGTTAAAAAAAAAAAAAAAAAAAGGAAAAAAAAGGCTATCCACATGTAAATGGATTTGCTCAGTTCAAATTCTTGTTGTTCAAGGGTCAGCCTTACAAGGGGAATGAACTTGTGTTAACCTCCCCCTACTATCATTTCCAGGCATGTGGGTCGTGTTTCATTATATCGTGATGGAAGCATGATGTCATTCTTGTTTTAGCTAAAATTTGAGCCATGCATAAAAACACATGCATGTAACTTTTGTTTCTCTAAATTGTTTTCAGAAAATAAGTTGTTCTCAGAAGTTACAAAATAATAAAGATAGTTTTGTCTGCCTCCCTCTTCTACATCCAGATTTCTATCCCAGTGCTTCACACCTCTCTGTTTGCCAGCGGGATTGCCTTTGGATCTTTTTAATAAAAGTTGTGGTAAAGAATTGTTAGTCCCCAAGATAGACAAACACAAAGGTACACACCTTCTTCTCATATTGCAATTGCGAATAAACAGCTGTGCTGCACATATGAACCTCCAATCAGGAAAGTTGGAACTCTCCAGGGACTTTTGGATATTTTCACAGTGATAGTGATATGTCCAGCATTTTTCCACATTAGAAAATGTGTTGGAGAAACCTACTCAGCAATAAGAAGGAATGCACTGTAGATACAGTAACACTGAAGAATCTTGAAATAATTATGCTGAGTGAGAGATGCTAGATAAAATGAAGTACATATTGTATGATTCTATTATTTAAATACAGTTCTAGGAAACACAAGCCATTCAATCTGTAGTAACAGAGGGAACATTGCTAGTTTCATGGAGCTGTGAGTGGCGAGGTTATAGGACAGTGGGCAGATGGGCTTGAGGAAGTTGCGGACATGGTAGATGTGCTCATATCTTGATTTTGGCAATGGTTTTATGGCATAAATACATGTCAATGGTCATAAAATTGTACACATTATTTAAGGGTAAGTGAAAAATATTGTTGCCAAATCATACAAACTTTTATTGAACAAACATATCAAAATGTGAAGCTTTTGTTTCTCAGTCTAGGTGTCCATCTAGGTCTCTACACTTCTGAGTGTGGCATTTGCACCTCTCTAAAGTTTTTCTGAAGAATTCTGTGCTGTTAGGTTTATACTACATCAAAATGACAGTTTGGGCTTTTTCAGTGGACTCATATTGTGTTCTTTTGAAATGTTCTTAGAGTTTTGGAAACAAAAAGAAGTCTGAAGTGGCAAGATCAGATTGGTAGGGTAGATAGGATAATGTTTCACAACAGAATTCTTGTAGAATGGCCCTTGCTACCCTAAAAGAATGTGCAGGTACATTGATGTGCTGGGGAAAAAAAATAATTTGGTGCAACTTTCTTACAAATGCAATTTTCCATTTTCTTAAAACTTCTTTCTAACAAGTTCCTGTGACCGTCCTGTGTCCTATGAGAAAAATCTACAAAGATAATCCCTTTGTAATCTTAAAAAAAAAAGAAAAAGGCATCAGAACTTTCTGAACTGACATCTTTGCTTTGAATTTAACTGGCCTAGTAATTCCAAATTATGGAAACCACTGTTTTGATTAGACCTGTTTTTTTTTTTCTTAAGCACTCTTAACGAGGCTAAGACAACTGAGAAAACTTGTCTTTCAGCTCTCCACTGATTTCAAAGACATGTTTAAATCCATTTTGTTTGGACTAAACCCATGCGTGTATGAACTAGAACTCTAGTAACAATGCTTTTCATGTACCCTTGTATAAATGCAGTTATTGTATGTCTGCTATATAGCTCAGGAGGCCTTGGGTGGTGCAAATGGTTAACACAGTAGGCTGCTAACTGAAGAGGCAGAAGTTCAAGTCTACCCAAAGCCTTCTTGGGAGAAAAGCCTTGTTTATCCACTTTTGAAAAATTAGGAACAATTCAAATTTAAAAACTCTATGGAGCACAGTTCTACTCTGACGTGCATGGGTTGCCATTGACTGGTATTTGAGGAGACCTTGTGCCACAGTAATTAAGCTCAGCTGCTAGCCAATAGGTCAGCAGTTCAAACCTGCTTAGGTGCTTCATAGGAGAAAGATGTGACAGTTTGCTTCTTTAAAGATTTACCGCCTTGAAAACCCTAGGGCTTTTCTCCTATGGGAGAGTTCATCTCTATTCTGTAGGATAGGTATGTGTTGGAATCAACTTGACAGCATTGGGTTTAGTTGGATATGTGGTTGGTACTGGTATTATGTTGTTAAGTTCCGTCCAGTTGGTTCTGACTCATAGCAACCACGTATAGGGTTTCGAAGGAATAACTGGTGAATTTGAACCACTACCCTTGTGGTTCAAACCGACCTTATGGTCCAATGCATTATCCTACAGCACCATACCAGGACTCCACTGGTATTATATCTCAGTGCATCTATTTTTTAAAAGGGTCATATTTATTACCCATGGAAGCAGAAGTCAAGAGATCAAAGGTCATACTGCCTTGGGCAAATTTGCTGCAAAATACTTCTTTACATGGCGAAGAGCAATGATGTCACTTTGAGGACCAAGGTGTGCCTGACCTAAGCCATAATATTGTCTGTTGCCTCATATGCATGTCAAAGCTGAATAGTTAATGAAGAAAACTGAAGAAGAATTGATGTCTTTAAATGATGGTGCTGGTTGAAGTATATTGAATTGAATATTGAGTATGAATTGCTAGAAGAATGAATACATTTGTTTTGAAAGAAGTATAGCCAGAATGTTCCTTAGTATCATGGATGCTGAGACTTCCTCTCATGTACTTTGAGCCTGTTATGAACAGAGGCCAATCCCTGGAAAAGGATCTCATGCTTAGTAAAGTAGAATGTTAGCGAAAAAGAGAAAGACCCCTAACAAGATTGATTGACGCAGTGGCTGTAACAGTGGGCTCAACCATAGCAACGACTGTGAGCCTGGCGTACGATGACTGCCAGCATTTTGTTCTGTTGGACATAGGATCCTTATGAGTTGGAACCCACTGGACAGCACCTCAAAACAACAACACTATCAAGAAATCATTTGTCTCTTGCCATCCACAGCAAGTAACCAGGAAAATAATGTTATTCAACCAGAACAATGCAGGAAACGATCTACTTTGTCGAGTGCTTTGGGCCATAGTAAAGGATGTACTATTTCCTAATTCTGCTCCATTGGAGTTTTGATTGTTAAAATATCTTTTTTGACTAATATTTTAATTGTCAAGAACAAGTGTTTAAGAGTCAGGCCAACTTAGGTTTCCCTAGCTTTGTGCAAACTGTGTAACTTTGGGTGAGACACTTGACATCTCTCAGATGTTTTACCCTCTTTATGAAATGGTAGTACTCATGTGACACTATAGGATAAGCACTGGACTGTTAACTGTAAGGTTGATAGTTCAAATCTACCAGCTGCTCTTCAGAAATCCTGCGCAGTGATGCTATGAGTTAGAATCCGCTCAACAGCACTTAACAGCAACAACATGCAGTGGTATGAGAGGGATATAGTAAATGCTCAAAAAATGGAAGCAAGAATTATTAATATTTTCATTTATTTTGCATTCTGATTTGTACAACATTTAAAATGCAAATGATCTTGGGAGAGAAAATAGCATTTTTCAGTGCAGACCAATGTAAAATGCTCACTGCTTCCTCTGTTCTTCACAATGGCATTTTTCTTCTGGTTTCTCTGCTTTTAGTGACCTCTACTCTTTGAGGGTGGTTGTTGTTTTGAATTTATTAGTGTTTCCTTTGTTAACTGAAAATATTATTATTCAATGTGCTATATTTATGAGTGCTCATTGAAAAATCTGCCCCAGTATTCAGCGTGTGCTTTTTTGTTGTTACTTGTCATCCAGGAACCTTGATAGCGTAGGTGGATTATGAGCAGGGCTGCTAATCGCAAAGTCAGAAGTTCAAATCTATCAGTTGCTCCACAGGAGAAAGATGAGACTTTCTGGTCACATAAAGTTTTAAAACTCATGAAAAAGGTTTACAGCCTTGGCAACCCTATACTATGAGCCAGAATTGTGACGGCACACACCTGCCACCACCATATTTATCATCCATCTATACAAAAGGTGTTTTGACTTTAAATGTTGCTTAAATGTAATTTATAGATCTTATAATGCTTATGAAGGAGCTCTGGTAGTGTAGTGGTTATGAGTTGGGCTGCTAACCTTAAGATCAGCAGTTCAAAACAACTAGCCCATTCCACGGGAGAAAGATGAGGCTTTCTGCTGCCTTAAAGGTTTACAGGGGTCGCTATGAGTCGGTTCCGACTTGATGGCACCTGACAACAACAACAACAAAAGGTTTACAGACTCAGAAACCCTATATAGGGTCGTTATGAGTCAGAATTTGAACTCCATGGCAAATAACCACCACCACCTCCATAATGCTTATAAAGATAAATTAAAAAATTTTTAATACTTATACGTTAAGGTCAGTGGTTCGAAACTACCAGCCGCTCCGTGGGAGAAAGATGAGGCTTTCTACTCCCGTAAGGATTTACACCCTCGGAAACCCTGTACAGGGTCGCTATGGGTCGGCTCCGACTCGAAGGCACTTAACAACAACAACAACAACAACATATTTCTGGAAGTAAAAGTTGATTTTTTTAATCTTAAATATGTCCTATTGGTGATAGGTGAGTTTGAAGGGACAGTACAGTAAAAAATGTAGTTCAACTCTGAGATGTTGTTTTTTTTTTTCTTATAGAAATGAACAGAATTCCCTGTATTCTGTGTTGTTGACCTGTTTTTCCTCTGCCAATTTGATGCAGGGATAGGTGATTGATTTGGTTTCTGAGGGTCCTGGAACTACACAAGGTGTTTTTCATATTGGAAAGGACATGTCCAGTTTTTCATGTGTTTTAAGATTTATTGCTTCACCCTGAAGTGTTGAAAATTAGTTTGTTTGCTATTTATTTTACTTAGAATGTAATCATTGGTGTCATTAGTACAGGGACAAATTTGATCACAGGAAACCATAGACTGCTTTTTAACATGATTTGTTTGTTTTTTATTTGGCTTTTTTGCAGGGCTGGAAATAAGATGGGTGGACTGCTACTTTCCTTTCACTCATCCTTCCTTTGAGATGGAGATCTACTTCCGTGGAGAATGGCTGGAAGTTCTGGGCTGTGGAGTGATGGAACAACAACTGGTGAATTCAGGTAGATGAGAATCTGGAATTTCACTTCCAGGCCCTTTTGAAAAACACTGTCTGCTCACTTAACCTCATTTACATAATATTTTCATGTATTTACATATTCTTATTGCAACAGAAGCACCATCTGTCTCATCTCATATTGTTCCTTGACTTCTCTCCCATGCTTGATGCTGGAAAAACTTAATTTGTCACGTCTAATTTTGCTAAAGGAGCTCTGGTAGCGTAGTGGTTATGAATCGGGCTGCAAGCCGCAAGGTTAGCAGTTCAAAACTATAAGCTCTTTTCTGCTCTTGTAAAGATTTACATCTTCGGAAACCCTATGCAGGGTCACTATGAGTCGGAACCGACTCCATGGCACATAACAACAACAACAACAACAATTTTGCTAAGGGAGTCCTTTGGTGGTACAAACCATTAACCTGCTCTGTTGCTAACTGAAAGGTTGCAAGTTTCAGCCGACCCAGATACCTCCAAAGAAAGACCTGTCGATCTGCTTCTGAAAATCCAGTCATTGAAAACCCTGTGAAGCATGGTTCTTCTCGGACACTCATGGGGGCAGGAGGACTTGGAGTTGAGTCAACATCAATTGTTATTTCCATTTTGATCAGGATTCTTCTTCATAGGAATTCTCCTATCTGGCATTTAGGTGTTGGATTTATACTTTATGATTTTCTGTCTGTTGACAGCTGCTTTTTAATTCCTGAAAGTCCTTTGGTATTTCACATGGCTGAAACTTGCCTTCCACACTCTTTGGGCTCAAAGTCACCGTGTAATCCCTTTTTGTTCATATTGCATTTTAATATTCAAAAAATAGTAAGCCCACTGCCATTGAGTTGATTGCAATTAATAGCAACCATATAAGGTAGATAGAGTCCTGGTGTAATGCTGTGATTAATGCTGGATTGCAAAGTTGGTTTGAACTGTAAGGTTGGTTCAAACTTACCAGCCGCTCCTCGGAAACCCTATACTGGGTCACCGTAGGTTGGAACCAACTCACCAACACTTAACAACAACGCATAAGGCAGAATAGGACTGCCCCATAGGGTTTCCAAAGGAGCTCTGGTAGCATAGTGGTTACGAACTGGGCTGCAGACTGCAAGGTCAGCAGTTTGAAACTACCAGCTGTTCTGCGAGAGAAAGATGAGGCTTTCTGTTCCTGTAAAGATTTACAGCCTGAATAGGGTTGCTAGGAGTCGAAATCGACTCTACGACACATAACAACAACAACAATAGGGTTTCCAAGACTATAATCTTCATGGAAGCAGATGGCCACATCTTTCTCCTGCAGATTATCTGGTGGGTTTGAACTGTTGACCTTTCAGTTAACAGTCAGATGCTTAATCACTGCACCACCTGGACTCCTTTTTAGCATTTAGTATAACCCCCTACATCAGCAGATACCTTGTATGTACAACCAAACTCATTAGGAGAATGAATGATTTTCTGTTGTAAGCCGCCCATAGAGTGGTCAGTGGCAGTGTAGATGAGGCAGTGTAGATGGACAAGTCTTCGGTTAAATTTCACCGCTGTCTAGAAAGGAGCCTTGGTATTATAATAATTATAAATACCTAGCTGTGTTGCTAACTGCTAGGTCAGCAGTTCAAATCAACCCATCGCTCCAAGGGAGAAAGATGAGGCTTTCTGCTTCCATAAAGATTTTTATCCTCAGAAACCCTGTACAGAGTTGCTCTGAGTTGGAACTGACTCAGTGGCACCACCACCACCACTAGCACTGCCACGTCACCTGTGTAACTTCCTATAAATTCTACTTTTCTAGAAGAAACCTTCTCCCCAGCTCTTTTCTGCAGGACCATAGCTTAAGAAAAGAGATTATTTCTAAACTTGATTTCAGAGCCATGTATTTTAAAGGAATCACTAACTGGATTAAAATTGTAAGGTACATTTTAATGTATTGTAAATTGTGCTGAGGAAGTTGGTTGGCACTGGTCCTTGAGGCGTGCGAGAAGTGCATGGGGAGGAACTGGTGCGGATTGTGGTGGGGTCGGCTTTTCCCCTGCAGAGGGGCATTTGCTATGTGGGTTTTGGTAGGCGGATTTACTCTTGGATGTGTGAGAAACATTGTTGATACCCAGATACTGACCCTCAGTTGAGGGTAGGTATTCTTAGAACATGGATAATGGATTCCCCAGATTTTACGGTGGCAGGGTGTCCCCTTTAACTGCCATGTGACCCTTTGGCTTCCAGATTCTGAGAGAAACTGGTCAGCATCAGCATGAAGCTATTCAGGGATAACACACCCACAGCAGTGTTTACTACACCCTGTCTCTTTCCTTAAACTAAAAAAAAACATTAGTTTAAGGTGATGGCTCTGTCATGTTTATGCATGAATACAGTACTTCACTTAAAAGCTTCTCAGCAGAAATGTTAATTCCATAAAAATTCTGGCTGTATGGCCAATTTTTATTTCTTTAAACATTCTCTAACCTTGCCAAATGAATTGAAACTCTATCAACGCTCACGGGTTCAGCACAACATCCCTTTCTTCCTGTCTAACAAGACAAAATGTATATAGACAGGGTAGCCCAAATTTTAAGAAATTAACAAAAAAGTGTCTTCAATTCATACCAATACAAACCTAAATTTTTTATACCCTAAAATAATACATCTCTATTGACTAAGCTATCATTTAAATGATGCTGACACTGGAGAACAAAAAAGGAGCGAAACCAGTATTTTTGCTTACTATGCACAATGCTGAAATATATAAATGACTCTGAAAAATTAAGAAGATAAATCTTGTTTTCCTAAAGAGTCTAAAGACTAGAGAGTAAAAATAACTTTTGAAATGGCTTTAGCCTTAATAGAGGGGAAGGGAGATAGAGTTTAAAACAAAACATTTTCTAATTTGTAGCACTTTTTTTTTTTTTTTAAATACCCATCAAGTTAATAATAAAAGTTCTGAAACACAGGGCTTGTGCTTCAATAATGTTTAACTTAAGTCTTAAAAAAAAAAAAAAAAAAGTTTTTTCAATTCAGAAAAAGTGTTGGTACACCAAATACCTTTTAAAACAGAATTATGTTCTCAGAAAATCTGAAACACTAATAGATAAAATGTACATGAAACATAAAAACATATCTTACACTCTAGTGTATTAAACATGACCATGTTGGTCACCGATAAGGAGAAGTGGGGGGAAAACAGCAATGAAGCTGTGAGCTAAGTCCAACCACGTTCAATAGACTCCTGTCAACCTGGATCGTGACCTGGGTGGCCAGCAGTATGGCAAGACCTGGGGACTCCTGGGCCCAGAGACAATGACATGGGTGGCCACAGAGGACTAGAGTGGAGAATGAAGCATCCAACTGATATGAAGTAAGGGGAGATGGACAAGAACACCCACACTTGCAGATAGTATCCACTTGACCTTGCTTCAATGGCTGACTGATCAGAACTCAACTAGAAGAAGAAAGAAGAGGAAAAAAAGAGTAATCTGTTACAATTTGATGAACTTTACCTATACTTATGGATGTAGCTCAGTGAAGATCACTTCTACTTCCCCTGTACACAGGGTTGACAGGAATGGGCAACTTAGACATTGGCTACCCAAAAAGGGAGGAGTGGGGAACTACAAAGGCAAGAAGTGACTGGCTTACAAGCTTTCAAGAGGAAATCTAGTTCCAGAGGGCTTGGAGGATGGGGTAGATGAAAGGAGATGGGGATAAGACTCAATAGTGAGTACTTGCTATCAGGACTGACTGTGAGTGTTGGAAATGTAAAGATTGACATTTTATAACAAAAGAAGGGGAGTGGTTGATTTTACAGTCCCTGAGCTGAGGACCCTGGGAAGATCAAGGGATAAGAATCCAGAGCAGCAGTGATGCTGGAGATGGAGGCAGAGAAGAGTGGAGAGATGGAGTGGCTGGGCACTCTGGACTCAGGAAGGGAGAGGATCTGTGTGCTGATGGCTGGGGGCGGTGAGGCAGGCTTGTGGGTGTACCCTTTGGTTGTTTGATGATGCATGGAGGGGATTGTAACCATGGCAATGAAATGATATAGGATAGGATGAATGTAAAGCTAATGTTCACTCATGTAAACTATCACATAATTCACAATAAAACATTAAAATAAATAAATAAAAGAATGAAAAAAATGTGCAAACAACAATGAAAACACACAAAAAAAGTCTTGGGCAATGTGCAACTTAAAAAAATTACTATCACACCAGCCAGACAAATCCTTAACCACTTTTTAAATGGATTCATTTGTACTATTTTACTGCTGAGAGAATGTCAAAGATATTAAAACAAAACAGAACAACTCTTCAGTGCCTGACTCACATTTTGCCCCCAGACCTTTTCACATTTTAGTTTCATCTTGAATGTGTAAGCTCCGAATTTTGCATTGTAAACTCAAATAGTTTATGTCTACATTTATCTTAAGAATTATATTTGAAAACTACAATGCTAAAAAATAAAACACATACTTCAAACTTTTTTAAAAATAGGAGACCATCTCTGACTAGGCCCTTCAGTACTAGCTGCCGGCCCCTCCCCACTTCAGAAGTCATCCTCCCTTCCTCCATCCCTAATCCTAACCCCAATCTTATGATAAAGCTCCATTCAGAAGGATTCACCCCAGCCTCTGGGACATAGAGACACCTTTCTGCTACTTTATTTAACTTCCTGCACTGTCTGTTTGTCTGATGGTAACTTGGTGCCTTTCGTCTGGTAGGTCAAGGAGGATCAGGTGGCTCCATTGTCAACCTATCCAGGATTCCTGGTGGGGCTTAGTCATAAGGAACCTCTGACCTCCCCCTAACCCCCATCACTCTCTTGTCTTTTTATTTAAAGTTTGTATTGTGAATTGGGTGAAAGTTTACAGGGCAAATCATCAGTTTTACATTCAACAAATCATATACTTTGTTTCATTACCATGATTATAATCCCGTCCATGTACCATTAGTTAACAGTATTTCTCTTTATTCATTTTAGCTCTCTTCTTTTTTTTTTTCCGAAAAAACACTCAGGCATATATAATAATTT